TTCTTTTGGTGAATTTTTTAAAAAAAGGATTAGGCTCCAGATATTTAGTTTCAAACTGATCCTGTCAATGCTAAGGCCTATTCTCTGAAATCTTGTTTGTTGTTTACATGATGGTTTGGATACTCGCTCTAACTACCTGCGAGACAACAAGATTTCACTTTAACAACAACAACAACAAAAAAGCTTATAATTTAGCCCAACCCCTCTCGGATTCTAGAGATTCTAGGGGGGCTCTTGTTGCCTCCCGAGAGGACAACCATCCAGAAACAAAGTAAGCCAGAGTGGTGGGATACATCTATCTACTGCTCTAGAGTGCAGAGGACAGTAGTTTCAAGATACCACTATTTTAAGATATTTTGTTAACAACTGGACTAAACAAAGCATACTGCCCTATTAAGAATCATGAGTTATTTGAAGAGCACTAACACTAGTAAGCCTGAAATACAGATACCCTGAAGTGTTTTCTCTTTGTAGGAAGCCTGAAAGAAACTCCAGTACTGCTTTACCACAGGAAGGTGGTATTCGCCAAAGCACCATACTGACCATTTTAGTTAAGATGTGTTAGAGCAAGGGATTCAAGCCTCCTAAAATTAAGTACATGTGTGAATGACTTCCACTCCAAATAATCTTCCTGATAATGTATATCACAGCTACCACAGCTAGCAAGTTCTAGTCAAAAACTGATAACTAATGTTAAACTGGTGACAAAAAACCAACCAACCAAATAACCCACAAACAAAAAAACAAAACAAAAAATTTAGACTGACACTTTTCTAAATTCACTGCACAGGGCAACAAAGAAACAGCTCAATACCTTGAGTTGAGGATGCAGTAGCCTTAATGCTAAAGCACAGCTGTACTTTGAAAAGTGATTCTGTAAACATGGCATTGTGGTGTTACATGTTTACTGTTACTCAGTAATCCCACATCAAAAGTTAAAAAAAAAAAAGTTTTAATCCCTAAATGGCGACTGTCACAGTTTCACGGGACCTACACCACAGTCCACTCCAGAGTGCCCACTCAGCTTTCAGAACTCCTGCCGTAACCTGTCTCGGGGTAGGGACCCTTGTCCCACTCCTTTCTGATCAGAAGTTTTAAGGCTGCACAGACCCTTGCCTTACACTGCATGATCCCCAGCAAGCCAGTCTGCTTACAGCCTGTGGCTGGGCTCTGCTTTCACTCAGAGGACTACGACAGGTGTGATTTACCAGTAATCCAAACAGTTCTTTCTAAGCAGGGACATTTATTCTTACGGAAAAAGTTTTACAGAGAAAAATGTATAAAAAATGAACAGATTTAAACCCACACTAAACATATCAAGAAAAACAAGCAGTCTTATGGGGCCAAAGTACTTCCAATCCTTCAGCAGGATTGGTCCCCTTGGACAAATGTGAACGTTGGTTTGCTGGTTCAGAAAGACGGCCCTGTGTCACTTCAAACTCAGCCTTTTTATACCAAGAGCTCTTTCTTTGAGTCTCTGGAAAACCCACTTTGAACCAGTGTATGCAAAACAGTCCCGGGGTGGTACCTCCCTAGAGTTGTTTAGTCTCAGTGACTTGCCTTGATCACTCCCCCAATGTTTTTAGTTCCTGGAGGAGCTGTGGTAACCCTCCTCCATGGAGAAGAACACATTCATACATAAACCCTTCATAAATTTAATACATAGGTACTGCAGTAGGTTGCAATATCTGTCACAGTGACTGCAAATGCCAAGATCGCAGTTTAAGTCAGGCTTGGTTCTTCTTGTTCTAGCACCATTGCCAGTTATCCTGAACCACCTGAGGTGTATTGTATCTGGGATACCAGCAGTCCTACTATGACCCATGTCAGCCACATGACATAACAGTTGCCATGGAGAAGTATTACAATATTAAGTACACTTCATAAAACTAAGAAAAAAGTTACAAAGCACAAAGGTGGACTGAGTGGCTTTTATTGAACTTGCTTTTTTTTTTAAATTATCTTTGAGCTGAGAACTGGCACGAGAAACACCAGCTTAAAAGAAATATTTCTAAGTAAGTAACCAAAACCAACCATGTAGAATGAAATGCAAACTATAGCTCCACTCCCGAAATACATTAGTATTCCTTATTCATGTTATAAATGGCAACACTTGCCCTGCTAGGTTTATATGGCTGTATCACTTTCTTCATTATAAACCACAATTAAAGTGAACGTTCTGTCAGCTTTTCCATTACAGGCCATTAGCACTGTTAAGGCTGAGGTTGTGTTTACATTATAAACCTTGACTTTCATAGTTTAATTTCTCACAGATTTTAAATGTATAGTAAGCTACAAACTAACACATAAATGCTATAATTGGATTGCACCTAGGATCTTGCTCGACTGCTACGTTCCTTTTGGAGCATAAATATATGGTATTTTTAATATAGCCAATAGATTAGTTTTTAAAATGCCTATATCCATCTGTTTTTAGCTGTTATACAGTAGATAACTCTCCAGGCTTAATATTAACTTCTTGTATAAATTAAGAGCCTAAATTTGCAAACCAACCCTTGATGACACAGGAAGGCCATTCTCCCAGTGAAGTCAATCGATTACTCGATTGAGTAAAGGTTTGCAGGGCTGTCCTCTGATATATTAAAGGGACACAGTGAAATATAAAAAATAAGTATAAGCTTGAAAACAACATTTTTCTCTGGCAGTTTCCCCCCCCCCCCCATTTGATCTATATTTTAGATATTACAGAGCAGGGACGATGGAACAGGGGAGCCAGGGGGCCATGTCCCCACCAATTTTTACCTGTCGTAAGGGCGGGTGATGGGGTGGAGAGGAGTGAGCAGGCGGTGGGGCCTTGGGGTGCGGGGAAGAGGCAGTGTTGGAGCGGGGCCTCAGGGGAAGAGGCAGCGCAGGGGTGGGCAACAGTGGCCCCCCTACTTTTAGGAAGCTTCCACTGCTCTTGCTATAGAGTACATTTGTTTATAACATTCTGAGACCATGATTTCTTAAACGTTAACATCTAATGTTAGAAGCCTAAATCCCTGTTGAGGCACCTACCTTAGAGATCTGATTTTCAAGAGTGCTGAGCACCCAGCAGCTCCCACTAAAGTAAACAGCCCTCTTTGAAAATCAGGCCACTGAACTAGGTGCCTAAATACGGATTTAGGAATCTAATATTAGACACCCATATTGGAAATTGTGCCCCATATTAAATAGTGAACGAAGTCCAGGGAGAGAGCAGGAGTGCTGGAGTGGAGGCCGATGAAGTAAGGCTCGGGGAAAGAAGGGAGTTTTGGGGAGGGTTGTGAAGAAGGAAAGCAACCAGGGCCGTACTTAGGCATATGTAGCATACACAGCTGCGTAGGGCACCCAAAAATTTGGGGCACCTTTCCCCTCGCTGGCCGCGGCTGGAATTCTCTCTTCTCCAGCCCCTCCCCGGCACTGGGCCGGCGGGCTTCTCCCCAACCCCAACTCCTCCCTCACTTGCTCCTCAGCCAGCTGGCCGAGGGCTCCAGCCTCCGGCTCTGCCACCCCAGCCCCGGGGAGCCCAGAGCAGCACGGCCAGTCACTGGCGGCGCGGTGGCCTGGCCCAACGCCGCCCAGAGCTGAGTCCCTCCCTGGACCCTGCCTGTCTGCGCCGCTTGGTCTCTGGCGGGGGCCAGGACAGGAGGTGTGAAACTTCCACGTGAGTCAGCGGGGGGGGGGGGGGGAGGAGGGATCCAGGCCGAATAGGGAAGGGGGGGGACTTAAAGTGACAGTGTGCTCACTGTCTCTCACACTTCCCTAGCACACACACTTGTACTATTGTTGCTGTTATTACTGCTTGGTACTTCCTGTCAAAATGCTCATGGTGAGCCAGGAGTGGCTAGGAGCTGCAGGATGGCCATGGGCTCTGGCAAGATGCAGCCCCCATGTGACAGCGTGAAGCCTGCCTTGAGCCGCTGCCACAGCATCTGCTGCGTACGAAGCTTGGTGTGTGTCAGCAATGGGGGAGGTTCTGGGGATTTGCAATGGGGGAGGGGGGTGGCCATGCCCCCTCGACACACTGGGGTCAGCGGCACTGGCTGGGGACCTCTTTCAGTGGAGCATAGGGGCACCAGTTTAATATTACTATGTAGGGCCTCATAAATCCTGAGAGCAACGTAGTACCATTCACAGGACCGAGCACAAGAGGCAGTGGAAGAAAAGGCAAAGAGTTGCTTGTGATAGGAGACAAGGCAGGCAAAACATAGGGCACAAGCAGAGGAAGACTGTGTCCTTTTAATGTTGCATTAACAGAGATTTCTGCATGGAATCTAGAAGGTATTTAGAAGAGAAAGTGTAGTCATTTCCCACCAGGCAGGGCAGCAGGGGGTCATTGACAGGCTTGACCTACCAGTCCTTTTAGGAGTGTCAATGAAGTCACACATAGGTGTGTTGGTCATCTGACTTGATGCTCTTTTCCAACATGTTTCAGGATTTACTAGGGCTGTCAAGTGATTAAAAAAATGAATCGTGATTAATCATGCTGTTAAACAATAATAGAATGCCAATTATTTAAATATTTTTGGAGGTTTTCTACATTTTCAAATATATTAATTTTAATTACAACACAGAATACAAAGTGTACAGTGCTCACTTTATATTTATTTTTGATTACAAATATTTGCACTGTAAAAAAAAAAAGTATTTTTCAATTCCCCCATTACAAGTACTATAGTGCAATCTCTTTATCATGAAAGTTGCACTTACAAATGTAGAATTATGTCCAAATACCTGCATTCAAAAATAAAAAAATTGTTAAACTTTAGAGCCTACAAGTCCACTCAGTCCTACTTCTTGTGCAGCCAACCGCTAAGACAAACAAGTTTGTTTACATTTGCAGGAGATAATGCTGCCCGCTTCTTATTTACAATGTCACCTGAAAGTGAGAACAGGCGTTCGCATGGCACTGTCGTAGCCAGCGTCGCATGAGATTTACATGCCAGATACGCTAAAGATTCATATGTCCCTTCATGCTTCAACCACCATTCCAGAGGACATGAGTCCATGCTGATGACAGGTTTTGCTGATTCAAAACAGTGCGGACCAATGCATGTTCATTTTCATCATCATCTGAGTCAAATGCCACCAGCAGAAGATTGATTTTCTTTTTTAGTGGTTCAGGTTCTGTAGTTTCCGCATCGGAGTGCTGCTCTTTTAAGACTTCTGAAAGCATGCTCCAAGCCTCGTCCTCAGATTTTGGAAGGCACTTCAGATTCTTAAACCTTGGGTTGAGTGCTGTATCTATCCTTAGAAATCTTATATTGGTATGTTCCTTGTGTTTTGTCAAATCTGCAATGAAAGTGTTCTTAAAATGAACAATATGTGCTGGGTCATCATCTGAGACTTCTATAACATGAAATATATGGCAGAATGCAGGTAAAACAGCCGGAGGCATACAATTCTCCCCAGGGAGTTCAGTAACAAATTTAATTAAAACATTATTTTTTTAACAAGCGTCATCACCATTGAAGCACGTCTTCTGGAATGGTGGCCGAAGCATGAAGGGGGATACGAATATTTAGCATATCTGGCACGTAAATACCTTGTAATGCCGGCTACAAAAGTGCCATGTAAATGCCTGTTCTCACTTTCACGTGACATTGTAAATAAGAAGAGGGCAGCATTATCTCCCGTAAATGTAAACAAACTTGTTTGTCTTAGCGGTTGGCTGAACAAGAAGTAGGACTGAATGGATTTGTAGGCTCTAAAGTTTTACATTGTTTTGTTTTTGAGTGCAGTTATGTAACCAAAAAAAAAATCTATATTTGTAAATTAAACTTTCATGACAAAGAGATTGCACTACAGTACTTGTATGAGGTGAATTGAAAAAGACAATTTGTTTATCATTTTTACAGGGCAAATATTTGTAATAAAAAAATAATAATATAAAACGAGCATTGTACATTTTGTATTCTGTGTTGTAACTGAAGTCAATATATTTGAAAATGTAGAAAAACATCCAAAAATATTTAATACATTTCAATTGGGATACTATTGTTTAACAGTGTGATTAATCACAATTCATTTTTTTGAGTTAATGGCGTGAGTTATCTGCGATTAATCGACAGCCCTAGGATTTACCCAAACCCTATTCAATAATTTTTTACGACCTCATCCCCATCAGAGTATACTCACGGCTCCAGAGCGAATAGGCAAGGCGACAGTTTACTCGGCGATAAAACTGCTTGTTTATAGGCCAGAGGATTAGTGTGCATAGTTGGACGAAGTTAATGATCAACCCACTCACAACGAAGACAAACCCAATGAGGAGATGAACTATAAACTGGGTCTTCAAAAATGCAATTAAGCCCATGATAACCACTTAGTAGGCCTTGCAGGGTCCTTCGCTCAGAATAACTGTCCTGAAAGAGAGAGAAAAGAAAATCTCATTGAGACTAAAGTTACCAGCCTCTGGAAAAGAAATCTAGGAGAGTGTTATTTCTCTGTCTGACAGCAGGAAGAGGAAAACCACCAGCCTCCAGGCCTCTTTTATTCTGGTCTTTTTTGCAGTGGGGTAATCGTTATTTAGCCAATGATGCAAATCACTTTAAGTAAGAATCTCGTTAACTAGAGCTTTTAATCACCTGAGAAAAATTATTCTGGCTGCTGCTGCTGAATTTCACCTCTCTTCACACAAACTTCAAGTAACAAGGCTTTGAGACGGACCAATAAATAAATAAAGCCCCAATCTGAGAGCAGGCTGCACCGCAGCACCTCCACAGCTGCTTATTCCTGTCTGTGAACCAGAATAGTGGCTGTTGCTCCTCTGGGCCACATGAGTGGTGTGCCTAGCACCTGTGTAAGTGTGGATCCATTGATCCCATCATGGCCTGTCCCCAAAGCTTTTTCTCCGCATTGACCTATTCAGAACAAGCACAAAAGGCCATCTCTGCAGAAGCACAGAGAGGATGGCGGCCGTGCTATGCATCTGCTTTATTTAGAGAGTAGTGCAGTGGCCCATTCACTGAGTGGGCCCTTCCCGCTATGACAAATTTCACTTAAGAAAAAACAGTGCTGCACTAAGAGAGGCAGTATGGCCTAGTGGACTAAGAATGGAAATGGAAATCAAGTATAGTAGAACCTCAGAGTTACGAACACCTCAGGAAAGGAGGTTGTTCGTAACTGAAATGTTCATAACTCTAAACAAAATGGAATGGTTGTTCTTTCAAAAGTTTACAACTGAACATTGACTTAATACAGCTTTGAAACATCACTATGCAGAAGAAAAATGCTGCTCTTCCTTTATTTTTTAGTAGTTTATGTTTAACACTGTGCTGCATTTGGTGTGTGTGTGTGTGTGTGTGTGAGTGTGTGTCTTTGCTGCTGCCTGATTGCATACTTCCGATTCCAAGTGAGGTGCGTGGTTGTCTGGTCAATTTGTAACTCTGACATTCATAACTCTGAGGTTCTCCTGTATTCCCAAATTCTAATTCCAGCTCTTAGGCAAGTCAGTTATCTTCTCCCTTTCTCAGCTTTGTGACCCAAGAAGTCCTTAATGCCAACTAGCAAGGGGGTTACAGGAACATTCTGAAACTGGTATGTCCATTTTGGTACACCAAAAAACATCATGTGAGGTCTAAAAGGAAAGCTGGTGTCACCCTGGTCCTTAATATTGTTGTGAGCTGTACATATAGATACGATGTAAGGAGTTATATATGTACACTGAAAATATGTTTTAAAGTCTGTATTGAGGTATTGGGGGGAGGGATAGCTCAGTGGTTTGAGCGTTGGCCTACTAAACCCAGGGTTGTGAGTTCAATCCTTGAGGGGGCCACTTGGGGATCTGGGGCAAAATAAGTACTTGGTCCTGCTAGTGAAGTCAGGGGGCTGGACTCAATGACCTTTCAAGGTCCCTTCCAGTTCTAGGAGATAGGATATCTCCATTATTTATAATTATTAGTCACCAGCAAAGGTGAAAAACAAGTTTTCCTCCAGACAGGAGGTAAGAAATAGGTATTTCTCTGTCAGGCTATAAATTAAGCTCTAACCCAACAAAACAGATGCACATTTACGTACAAAGTCACCAGGAAAGGAGCACAGAGGAAAAAGAAGCCATGGGGGTTACCCTGGTTGTGTGCAAAGAAAATGAACGTGGGAGTTATTCCTAGAAGGCAAAGAGGACATCCCAGTCTTTGCCTGATTCTGCCAACATTTACGCATAGGAATAATTTTACATCCCATTGAATTCAATGGGTAAAGTCACATGAATATGAATAAAGAACAGGAGTACTTGTGGCACCTTAGAGACTAACTAATTTATTAGAGCATAAGCTTTCATGGACTACAGCCCACTTCTTCGGATGTAGTCCACCAAAGCTTATGCTCTAATAAATTTGTTAGTCTCTAAGGTGCCACAAGTACTCCTGTTCTTTTTAACAGAGATAGTGTATGATAGACCATGTGACTATTTACAATGGACCACCTCTCAACAGTCTATTTCATCCCTATGATAATGACAGCAATTGCTGATGTGGTAGAGCAGTAGCATGAAAATGTGTATCTTTAGCACAGTTGTGATCCTAAGAGCATCCCAACGCAGAAGGACAAGGGGCTCAGTGATAGCTCTTAATAAGTTTCAGATGACCTCACCATTCCAGTGTACCCCAATGCACTAAGGTCATAACCTGTAACTAAAAGGTGTCATGTAAAGTGTCAGTAGGAAGCTAATAACATACTGATCATTAATATGATTGTGTAATGTATGTACAGAGGACAAATTCAAAGTTAAAAACTTATTGGAAATTATGTTATCAAAGTGTGTCTTCCAGGCAGTGCTGAAGTTACCCTACCCTAGACAAAGGAATGTGATTCTGCCACCTTGAAGATATTTCCAAAGTACATCAAGAGACAATTGGAATGCAATCTAGATAGAAAGTAAACAGACCCATCAAGCCAGCAAGGGGAAGTATTAACTACTGAACATCACAGCAGGGGGAGGAGATTTCAGGAAACAGATTAATTTGCATTTTAGCAAATACCAGTGAGGAAAGAAACCAGCATGGAATTTCCTTCACCACTAGACTTCATATCTCCTTCCTCGTATCTTGAATGAACTTCACTTTGGGGGGAAACCTTCAGAAGAATCTATTTCAAAGGTTCACTGGACTATATAAGAGAGGGGCAATGAACCCCAAGTTATCTTTCACCTAGGAACTGAGCACTTTGGACTCTATCAGAAATCCTGACCAGATGGGTGGTCAGCCATCTTGCTGGAAGGTAAATGGATAAGGAAAACTACCTTGGACAAGGGCTGTAGCTTGTTGTGTTAAGTCTTAGCTTCTAGAAAGCATATTTCACTTTTATTTGCTTTTAGCCATTTCTAACTATATCCTTTATACTGGAACTCACTTAATATCCTATCTCCTTTTGTGAATAAACTTCTTTTACTTGTAATCTAAACCAGTCCAGTGCTGTGTTGGATTTAAAGTGAATGTTAATTAGAGTTAATGTGGCAAGTTACTGAGTATGGTATCTTTAAAGGAACAGACAAACCTTAATATCTTTCTGAATGGTCCAGGAGAGGGCACAGACACACAATCAATCATCATCATCATACAGGTCTCCTCTGTACATGGAGCTATGGGTTGCCTCTTCTGCCTGATCTTGATTTTAAAACCACCCCCTTTATATGGCATCTTGCTTAGACAATGCAGGCACTTACCGGTGTGCTTTCTGCTGTGCATCTGCAAATGGGACAACTTAAAGTATCGTTTGTTACAGCCAGGGTACGCACACATGAAGGGACGTTTTTCATTCGTCTCGCTAGCTGATCGGACAATAGTTGGAGCGACTCCTGGCACTCGCCGAACATCCTACAATGTCAGAAACAGCAGTGTGCATAGCTAATGTGAGCACATATAGTCACAAACCTGCTCCCATGTAATCAGTAGAAACACTCAAACTTCAACACGAGTATGATCCTCTGATGTACCTACCATACTAAAAATGACCATTTTTGTATTCTATTAATAATGTATAACAGTGTTCCTTCACCTTTTCCATATACAGCATTACAAATATGTGAGGGTAAACGCTACATGCTAAATTCCCTCTAATATTTATTATCTTACAATAAATGGGCCAAGTTCCAAACTAATTACCAACAGCATAAATGTGGAGTAACCCCCTTTAGCATCAATGGACTAGCTTCAGAATTATAACAGTGTAAAAGAGATCAGAACCTGACCCAGAGTAATGTTTTTATACTTAATTTTACAAGCTAGAAATTAAGCTAAGGTCCAAGGAAGTCAATGTAAGAAAAAATGTTACTATTAGATACTGCTGTAGATTGCAACCTTGACTATACAATGGTACTGCCACAGTGTTCCAACCAAGATGGACTTTCTTCTGGGATAATTGAATGTTAACTGCACAGTTCTGTTCACTGCATGTAAAGTTTAATCATTTAACTTTTTTCTAAGAGCTGGTTCACTAAGTGATGAATTGTTAAACTATAAAAAAGGACCAGGTACTATTAATATAATCTAAAGATCGTCCTATTGAGATACATTAACAACACTGAAGCAGTGCAGAAAAGACAGAATATATTTTAAATTTCTTAAAAAGCTTTGTGTCCAGTCTATTCAGTTTACAGAATGTATGCATTTATTGTGCCTTATGTCAAGGCACATCAAGCGTAATATACAGCATGGGATCCATTAGTATTAATTCTATAACCAGTTAGAAATGGATGGGAATCAACCCTCCTGGATTTTATGGCCCTTTCAAGTGTTTAACTGGTGATTTAGCCATTAGGGGTGCGATCACTTTGTGTACTTCTGTCTTCAGGGAATGATGTTCAAATTGTTACAATTTCACAAATCCACACATTCAGAACTTCATCTGACACCTCATTTTTGCTCAACCTTATATACAATCCCAGGTCTAAATCTACTATAACTACAGAAAAACTTATGTGGCCAAAGTTACTAAATACCTAACTTTCAAGTTAGATGAGAGGCCTCTAATTTTTGGCCATCCTAAAGTTAGTGAATAATGCAGCTCCAAAGATATATTTTAGAAGGAAAAATACATGATTTTTCATACTACAACATGGTGATCTTATTTTGTTCCTCAGTGAAATTGGAAGTCAACTTATCTCAGGGATTTCTTAATGACCTAAAAAGTTAGCAACAGAATTATGAATACCAAATCAAATAATCAATAAGTAACTGAAACCCTATAAAAACAGTAATTCTTCTTCCCTATGTAGAATGTCCTAATATACTTACTTGTATTCCTCTAAAGACTCCATGGGTGTGTATTCTATATTGGGCCCCACAGCTGTATAACATAGGACCAGTGTGGTTGTCACTCTCATATCCTGTTGCATGGCTGCAGATAAAGAGGGGAACAATGCATAGAGTTATATATTATTTTAGTGCACAGCTCCAAGCAAGAGGATTTGTTTCTTAATATGGTGATAAATTATTTAGGCTTTGATTTGGTAGTCAGGAGATCCATCCTCAAGTGAAAATTACTGGAGAAAGATTTCTCTTTCATTGCATGGGTCAGCTCATGATCATCACTTTTCCAGCACAATGCATTGACTCAATAATATAGTTGCAGTTATTATTGCCCAATAAATACAGTCCAGAAAAAAAGGAGTATTATCATGGTTTAAAGTGTGATGCATTACCACAAAGATGTTAAGAAAAAGAGACACACACAGGAACATAAACTTATGTGCATATGTGCAAGTTATTTATCAGCTAAATGCTGAGCTGGCTATTGCTAATATCTTTGGAATGAGCAAAATGCCTCAAGTTTCACATTAAGTACAGTGGATTTTGTCAGCACCTCATGACTCAGATATTACCAGATAGTACTGAGAAAGTGATGACATTTATAAGAATAGCAGTCGTGTACTCATAAGTACAGATTACAAATCAGCGTCCTAACCATTTAACCCACATATCAGCTTGCAAGACGCACTGTAGTTTAACTCTTTGTAAAAAGCAGCCTATGCTAAACACAAAGAGGATGAGCCTCAGTTGGTGTAAATTATCAAGATTCCCCAGGCAGCAGCACAGCAACATTTAAAATAAATGTTTTTTTCACAATTTTGTTTACCTAGTTAAGATGTATCCTGCAAAATGTTATGTTTTGGTGTGTAGAAAGGTAGGAACACTAATGGATTTTTCCACTTTAATAACTGTGAGATGAACACTGCAATTTTTAGTTCTGAATTAATAGTCATTTGTGTTAATAAATTAAGAGCTGTAGGTGTTAGAATTTCAGTATCATGAACATTCAAAAACTCCAGGAGTAGAGTCCAGGGAGACACAATGGGAGAACAATGTAGATGGATGAAAAGTGGGATTCTGAAGCAAAGCCTAGAATAACCAGGTCTATTGCCATCACAATTAGAGGCCACTGAGGCTCCAGACCTCTGACTGAAAAGGAAAGCAGGGCCCACTGAAAGAAAGCAGTCTATGTGGAGGTCCAGTCTTTCGAATGATTTACAAGAACAAACAATGGAATTGCAGGCTGGAAAGTGTCTGAAAGTTTCATGAATATGACCAAAGGGGAGAGAGCTTTTGTGACTATGTAATATTTGTAAAATGTGTGTGTTGCATTCTTCTTTAGCAAGTCCACATCAAGACTAGCAGTCTGCTTCTGACGCCTAACAGAGGTGTTCCTTTGCTTCACGTGGTACAGTTCTGTAGGTTCAAACTCTGCCAATGGCACCCTCTTCTACTAATTACACTAAACCCAAAGGAAAGCTTCCGACACACATGCAAAACCTCCGCTGGGGAGATTACCTTCATATTCTGGAGGCTTCTCTCCCCAAAATTCATCATAGGGTATCCCAATAACAGCCTTTTTTATCCAACTGTTCAGGATGGCACTGCATGACAGCTACCTACCTAGAAGCCACAACTAGCTTTCTTGAAAGAAAGACAGATTTTTAGTTCAATTGTTTTTTTCAGAGCCAAATCTACAAAGCTATGGCATCACATCCTTGGCTGGGCAAGTCAGTGGATCAAAAGTGACACAGCAAGCATGTGTTCCACTTCTTCACAAATTCTACAACAGCTGTGATTTTCCTGGTTTGGAAGGGCTAGTTTTTTTCAAGAACACCTAAACCTGGCAAAACCAAAGAGTTAAAGACTAGGCCTCCTAGGAAAGTAGAAGCTTTTTTAAAGTTCACAATGAAACAGGCTAAAAGAGGGTTGCAAGGTGAATAAAATCTTTTAATAGTGGCGTTACTATTAGTAATAGGGAGAGAACAATGCTGGCACCTGTTCAGGGCAGGAATCCTCTTTTATCTATGTATCAATGCCTACCACAATGGGACCCCAATCCCGATTAAGGCCTTAGGTGGTACCAGAATACAAACAATAAATAATCATTTTCTGAGTTACAGCATTCACCAATATCAGAGAGTCACAAACGACCCCATCAATGTTGAATTTTCCTCTCAATTCGAAGGACAGCAACAATGAAATCTGCTACTTGTGTAAAAGCCTGTCAAAGGGAAGGAGCATCTACCACATGGCAACATCTGTTTTAATCGACACCGAGGGGAAGGAAGTTAGCATGTTATAGTAAGGGAGAGGCATCTGTGCAGTTCACAGCAGAAGCAGTTGCTGATCTGTAGTGCCATAGGAAAGCAAGGGTAAATGTAAACTTAATCATTATTAGTCACCTGTCTGAGTAGCCTAATTTAGCTTTATAATCCTTCACCTATCAGATCCACACCCCTGATAGCAGCCTAGGCAGTTCAAGAGACAAGATAGTTTGTAGGAAGATACCCTAAACATATGATAAACTTTACACTGGAAGAAACCTCCAAAGGTACAACAAAATACAGAAATCATGTATCAGGGGGTAGCCGTGTTAGTCTGTATCCACAGAAACAACAAGGAGTCTGGTGGCACCTTAAAGACTAACAGGTTTATTTGGGCATAAGCTTTCGTGGGTAAAAAACTCACTTCTTCAGATGCATGGAGTAGAAATCATGCTACAAAACACAGACTAACTTGCACTCTATATTGTCTGAAATACAGAAGACTTGCAAGGTTTTCGTTTGTAGGTGCCAAGGATTTTCTGAAGGACTATTCAGTTCTGTAATGGAAAGTAGCCAGCAGAACCCACTTATCCTAGGAATTAGAAATGGAAGGAAGATATATGAGATCCCCTGGAATGCTCCTCATGGTATTTTCTCCAGTCTACTTTTAAAATATCTTCATGGATGGGGCTTCTACCAAATCGCTCTGTATTCCCCAAGCTTAAATTTCACTGACAGGAAGTTTTCCCTAACATTCCTCACATTTTTTTATTTCATCCCATTACTCCTGGTCATATGCCCTCTTTGCTTTTGTTGAGCAGAACTGTAGTGAAAGGCTTGATCACATTAGAAATTGTTTTCAAAGCCACCTGACCACTCACATATTAACTAGTGAGCAAACTACCCATTTAACAGTTCTCCCGAAAAGGCATCTTAGTAAGAAATAACCGTAGTTCCAGTTCCTTAAAACCCACCAGCATTGCCAGGGACTTATCATACATGGCCCTGTTATATTAACTTTGTTCATGTCGAGTAGGAAGGCACAACTCAATAATGAGTAAGGGTAGAGTAACCTGACCCTAAACAATTGTAATATTCTCACATTGGGGCACTTACTGGAAGTCAATGGGACTGTTGGTACAGCACTGTAAGACTTTCACAAATTGGGCCTGTAGCTGCTGCTTTGAATTGAAATCTCACTCTGCATTGATAGTCACTGCCACACAGCTTGTGAAATAGACTGGATTTCTCATGTCTCTCCCTCTCGCTATCTCCCTTTTGTTAAGAGCAAACATGATGCATGCCAAGCTATGTGAATTTGTTGATACACCCATAATTTATTTAGCATACACACTAGAATGTGGAAGACTCAATGGAAGAACTAGGGTAAGTCTGGCAGCTCCTCTACAACTTCTCAGACTTTCCAAAAATTACAGAATCACAACCACTGGTTTCATTTTACACAGGAGATAGCAACCAGAGGAAAGTCCAACCTCTATGAGCAATACAAGTCATCAGTGAGTTCATGCATGCAGTACACTAAAATAATTACAAATACACATCTTTCAGCTGGAGATCTTTTAATTAAAAAAAAAAAAAAAAAGAGTGGGAAATTCTTTGACTTTAAGCTCTTTGGAGTAGGGACTATATTTACCTGGGTGAGCAGGCAGTACCTAGTACATTGTGACCACTAATGGCAAGTAAAAATATTAATACATAATAAATAAATAAAATAAATAAATGTGTCCTGCTTGTTTACCAAGGGATCAATTGTCCTACATCTCTACAAATACATTGTAATCTATATAATTTTGCACCTTTGCATCTGAGCTAAATAAGAATAAACAAAACTTATGGTTTAAAATAAAGAAGTTGCAACTGAAGCCAAGGTGTTAATTGTAGAGTGGAAATTTGGAATCATCAAGAAGTCAAAGCAGGAAAAAATGGGAGAAAAAACTGTTTCCTCTGTTTAATGTTTAAAGTCATATTTATGACTGATAGGGGGGAAAAAATGCTGAAAAGAGTCAAGGCTAAGCAAAGCCAGATGCAGTTAAACCTGTTGTCAGGACAGGACTATTTTAGTGAGGCAGGCAAACACTACAGGAGTTCCTGATTGAGTAAAAACTGCAGGACTTGGCTCTTAAGGGTCCCAATTCTGCCTTCATTGGTGAATACAGAATTCCCTTGGAATCAATGGAAGTTGCACAGATCTACCCAAAGGCAGAACTGAACTGTAAATATTTAGAGTTCATCAAGTTGGTTGCTGAGATGGCCCCATATACATATTGTCCTTTGGTTCTAGGCAGCCAGCTGCAGACCTGGAAAAAATGCATAAAATGTAGCTCCACATTTCTGCAAAACAAAGATTGATACTTATGCAACATAAAATGCTAAGCAAGCGCTATATACTGTAGAGCATTTAGAAACATTTGTCTTTAGCATTAGGCCAGAAAATCCTTAACACTTGGAGAGTAGCTCTTTTAAAATGATTAATCTCGACGCTGTACAGATTGTACAGAGATTAATAAAAATGAAGGTTTTACAGATGAGAATGTGTGATGAAAACCAGAGCAGCTTTGGAGAGTTGTACCAATCTAAGACGTTATAAAAAATCTCATAAAAGATTACTTTCTAATCTGAATATATAAAAAAACCCACAACCTGCAATTTCTCTCTCACACCAACTTTACTTTGTTACACTAGAACTGTCTGATTAGTTTACAACTAGCCTCAACTTAAATCTGGAGAGTCAAGCTTGATTTTTTATTATTATTATTTCATAAGACTAAAAAGGGACTTTATAGGGCATATTGAGAAGAGT